TGCTGCACCTCGCAGCCGGCCGCCTCTAGGGGATAGCGGAGGCAGGCCTCAGCTCGGGCTCCTCCAGACGGAGAAGTGTGCTCGATCACACTGCTGATAGAGTGCACGATACACTCTATGGTCCGGTCGGCATCATAGCGGCACAGAGTGCCCCATGTTCCCTCTTCCCGAATGGAGTGAAGCATTGCCGACTCAGAGGCTTTCCGTACTCCACTGGCGCTATCCCCAGTGTGCATCGCTTGCATCGATCAAAAGATCCCGCAGCTAACACATATCCAATGGTACAGAATAACCAGAGTTGCAGTTCGCGACTATAGTTGCCGTGGGCCTGGGCTCTGCCGTGCTATACGACCAATTACGCGGTAATGGAGGAAGCCGGATAGTGGGTCCATCCCAGTGGAGCCTATAGAAGAGCTGCCGACAGCTAGTCGGCGCTGCTTCTCTCCATTCAAGAGGGGTGGAGGGCAGTCGAGCATGATGACGGGCCGACTTTAGGGTGCCTGCTGCACTCTTTACATCAGTGTGATGCGAGTATAGCAGTGTTTAACGGCACCAGACCTGCTCTTCTTGTGTTTCGTTTGCTTTGTTTTTTTTCATTCATTGGAATGTTGCAGATCCTTAAGCTTTCGCTCATTTCACCGTTTCTTCAAGTAACTGGCGTTCTACGGTGTGAATTAAAAAGCATTAGCTAGACGGTATTAAAGTTTTTTTTATGATTCTGTAATTCTTTATAATTTGCTTTATATGCCTTGTGTCTCTGGTATCAGTTTACCTCAACCTGCTTCTTCAGCCTTGTCAGCTCTCTATTTTATTTAGTTCCTTTGAAAGCTCGAAATAGTTGAGGCAGGGACAACCGAGTGGTTAAGAGTGTGACTCATGTTCGGACTCTGATCCACGAGGTCGATCACTGCCGAGGCACGAACCATGCCTTGCAAAAATTGCAAAAATGGAGACGATACCAGCGTCAACCCCAGGTTACAGGCCGGCTGATGGAGGAACCCGTACACAAAGACAACTCGTTAGGGAGGACCTGGTATCCATAGCAAAGGACATGTACGATGGGGCTAAAGCAGCTGTACGCACCCTTCACGGCTTGACAAAGGAGGTAAACATTACGACTGGGGTACACTAAGGATCAGGCCTCAGCCCGTTCCTCTTCCTCCTGACTCTAGATGTCATGGCAAAAGAACTCGTGGAGGGGCCACTGAAAACCATCCTCTACGCTGGCGACATCGCTCTGATAGCGGACAGCAGGGAGGAACTCCAGAACAAGGTGCAGCGGTGGCAGGATGTGCTCGCTGAAAATGGATTCCTTCTGAACGTTAAGAGGACCAAGTTCCTGAGCTCCGAAGAGTGTACCGAACCCATCGCAGACCGCCTGGCGAGAAAATCGAAAGGGTCGAAGGCTTCCAGTACCTGGGGAGCGACCCAGCAGCTGATGGCAGCGTGGACCAGGCGGTGAAGACTTGAATCAACGCAGCCTGAATGAAATGGAGGGAGTCCATTGGCATCCTGTGCGACCGGCGGTGCTCGAGAACGCTCAAAGGCAAGTGTGCCGGGTGGTGGTGAGGCCTTCAATGCTCTAGGGCAGTTAGTGCCGGCCCATCTGCAAGAACCATGAAAGGCAGCTCCACTCAGCTGAAAAGAGGATGCTGAGATGGGCCTGCGGTTGGCCACGACTCGACAGAGTCAGAAACGAGGGCGTCAGGGAGCCACCCAGACGGCTCCGCTCCATCTAAAGGCACGAGAGCAGCGACTGCGATGGAACGGGCACGTACTGAGGAGGCCTCAAGACCACGCAATAAGGAAGACGGAATTTGAAGCAGATGGCAAGCGACCACGAGGAGCCCCAAAAAAACGAAGAGAAAATTAGATAGAAAAGTAATATTTTGTCTTTGAGTTAAGTAGATAACTCCTTCACCAAGACCTGCTCCCAGGGCCCCAAAAGCGTTTCGACCCTGGTACCTTCGGTTTTTCAACAAATGCGAGTAAGTTGCTGTTGCTGCCAATTCCGGCGACGACAAAACGTTGTAGCGTTTGCCGTCGGAGAGCACTTTCGACTGACCAGAACAGTTGGAATCGAACGGCTTTATGTTGGGCGAATGGGGCGATTGAACCCATGCTCAGTCATTGTAGATTGCTGCCATCTCTGAGCTTCATCAAAACGATTGGATAGATGCTTTTGAAGCTCTTGTATCAAAAATCTTTATTAGTAAGCTCTCGGCGATAACGCCGTCTTCAGACCTTCAAAATACAATACTTTAGTGGCCTACAACCACAACAATTATATTAACATCAGCATTACTACCTACCACAGGCAGGGAGAGGACCACGGGTGGTGGAATGAGCCTGCTGGTGCGGCTGCGCAAATAAGTGAAGACTCTCCAGCAGCCAGTCCTAAGGCACAGGGGTCTTCTTTTGCCGCAGTTATTACGCGATTAGCCTTAGGAGGTCATGTAGCTCCTCCCTGGCTTGATGCGATGGATTTCCCTCGCCTCCATGATTTTTCACTCTAGCGGTCGTACTAAATGTTTGTGCAGAACTCTCACATCAAATGGTGGTGGGTCCTCGTACTCGGCCCTCGTACTCATGTTCGAGGGGGATGATGCTTGGAGAACGCGCTGAGTGGGTAGCCTGCGGGACTGGACAACGCTCTTCTGTGTTCGTCCAGACGATGCTTTAGCGTTCTTGCAGTCTCTCCCATTTACTCTTCTCTACAGCGTCTACATCGGATCAAATGCAAGTGCCTTGGAGTTCAGAGATTTTCTCGGATAAACAGTATCGACAGGAATGCTCGCGATATTGAAGTTCGTAAAAACGGAACGAGGTGAAGAGGTCTCTAAGTGTGGGAGTAGGGCGGAAGACGAGTAGGATGCGAAGTTGAGAACTCTTCACAATGCGATTTACATCTCGTGCCATTTCTTAGTTCACAAAAGGAATTGTGAGGGTCACCCCATCTGGCTACCTATGTGGAACCCATGTTTTGAAATTTCCTCCGAAATATCCGTTGTTTGAAAGGATACTTTTGACCTTATTGTATGTGATCTAGTCCCTTTGCGTTCCAAGCTTCTCTTTTGTTCTAACAAGATTTCGTGCGACATTCGCCTTCATATAAATCGGGTGAGCACTCCTGAAATGCAAGAAGATGTTGCAAGAGGCGTGGTTCTTATATCACAGGCGTTCCTTGTAACCCTCACGGATACGGACTCTTATAAAGGAATAGTAAAACTCCATCCGCTCCTGGATCTTCTTTCGTGAGAGTGAGAGTAATTTTAGCATCGTGTGAATTCAGTCTCCTTAAGGCTCCAACAAGATCTTTCTCTTTCGTCGCGATAACAAACATGTCATCATTGTAACGTTTGTAGAAGAGTACTCCTTTTGTCAACGATGACTTTTCAATGTGATCAAAAAAGATGACTGCTAGCACTGGTGCTATACGGTTTCCCATGGCCAGCCCTCGTTTTTGCTTGTAGAGTCAAAGCGGGAAATGTTGCAATCCAGTACCGCTTCAACAAGATCCCTAATTTTGTGTGTGGAGATTCCCATTGTCGGGATATGATCTTGACTCTCTTCGAGAAGGGATAACGCGGCTTGTACTGCATCCACATTGTTCACATTCGTATAAAGGGACACAACATCGAAGCTGGCGTAGGAGGCTCCTGTCGTTTCTGGACAGTGGTGAAGTGACGAAATAAAGCCATTGAAATTAACAACGTGCGCTTCCACGTATCGTAAGAGTGGCGAGAGCAGTCAAAGTAGATGCCAACTTAGCCTGTCCGCTGGGCCGCCACATGACGCGATGATCGGTCTTGTCTTAATTTCATTCAGTGGAGGCGACATTGTATTATCTGCTGATGGAAGTTTATGCATCTTCACCAAGTTGTACAGCGTTGGTATTATCGGAGCTGAACTATGCAGTCGTTTTGCCATCTCGAGACTCATTCGTTCCTTCACTACTGACATGACATGATGACGTTCTTCACTCTTTTGCATTCTGTTTCGAACGCTGATAAAGTGCTTTCCTCGTATACGGACGTGTCCGAAAGCACTTGTGCTGTGAGTTCTTTATCTAGAGCTTGTGGCGTTACCACGAAAGATCCACACAATTGTCGCCAACTGTGTATCTCATCGTGCTCTTCGCTTGCAGAGTTCCCGTACTCCTTGCCGCTCAGCTGGAGTCAGGCTAGTGTGATAAGGCTCATTCATGGCTACGATAAAATTGTTGAATATCATGCTTAGGAGTTGATCTGAGAGTCGGCGCCTCATGAAGGAGGGGAATTTGAATGAATTCGCCTCTGAATGGCACTGAGGACATTAACGTTTCTTGTCGGTTGAGAATGGTTGGCCTGTTTTGTTCTTCAACGTAGCTGATAGGCGGATTGGTGGACTCCACAAAGCGCTGCGTCAATTACTTTAACGGTGACCCTTAGAGTTATTGCAAATGATAGCCCGAGGTTATGGGCTGCAGCCATATCACTGTTTACTTCATTTGTTCCAATGGCTACGTGCCGTGGTGGTGGCATAGCGTTTGCTACGAGGAAACGCGATTGCTGGAAAACTGTAAATGTGATCTCAAAACGGTGAGTTTCCTCTTGAAATGGCAGCACAGATCTTCACATAATCGGGAGCATACTCTCTGATTCTCCGAAGAAATTCTTTGCCAAACATACGCAATCAGTTTTGAACTCATTCAAACGCTATTCAAAGGCAAATACATTCAAATTCCCCCTCCCTCACGAGACGTCGACGCTGAGATAGCAACTCGTGAGCATAATGTCCAACACGTTTACCGATGTGCTGATCTACGAACTATTTCCCAGTTTGATATTTATGAGGATTGGATCACTGATCTTCAACTTCCAGGCTCTGAGGAAGGCGACTAGCCGAAACGTTAGCCCAATAAAGTGATTTACCACCTTGGTTGTGGCTTCAAGAAATCATTGAAGACAAGGACACACACTATGCCAAGGTTCATGAACAATCAAACATGGAGTTGTACCTTTTCCCCAGAATGGTGTTCTTACAGGTAGTTTCCGCGGAATGTGGTTAAATTCCCCAGCCACATCATACGAAGGGCATTCACATCGCACTTTCGACTTAGCCGCTGCGCACTGACAGTTTACTGAAAACGTACAGTTTAGTGTCTCGGCTACTCTTTGGCTTTGGTGTTATCGTGTTTGTCCAAATCGCAGTGTCGTATCCGTCTGTGATAAAGGCGCTGTTCAGCTGCGGAGTAGGAGGCATTGTGAGGGAAGTCATGGCGATCTGCGAGGTTTCGAGGCTTACTGGAACATTTGGGACGAGCTGGGCGGCATACCTATACCGTCTTTCATTTGAATGGAGATCCTCAACTTACGACCTCTTCCGTCCAGCGCAGATAACGAAATATTCTGTAGATGGTCGGGTTATTAGGCTTGGCAGAAAAACGGAAGAAGAGGCAACCGGAACTGGAGGAGGCGCAATCGCGGCCCCATCCCCCACAGGACTCGAAACAGTCAGTACGTCCTAGATAGGGTCACTGATCTTCAACTTCCAGGCTCTGAGGAAGGCGACTAGCCGAACGTTAGCCAGCTCTGGAGTTTCAAGCTCTGGAATCAGACTAGTGCTGCTGATACTGGCGCATTTTTCACCCGAACCCATGTACGGACAACGTTTACTGTCAACAACGTCCACAGTCGTAGAACGTGTATAGTATTCAGTTTCTTCTTCACAGCGTAAGTATAATCCTATCCATCTAATTTTAGAGTAATTCTAGAGTAGAGTTTCTGAACAGGATAAGCAAGCGTGTTGGGTGAGGGTGTCCAGCTTCGATACTTCGGTCAGCCTAACTGAGCACAATTCTTTGCCATCTTTATTGGTGCAAACAGCGGCATGGTGCTTTAGTAGATTAACTTGTTGGCATGAGAATGCCGGTTCTACCACCCAGCATAGTGATGCTGCTCTTGCAAGTGCTGCTGTCAAACGAGCGTTCAGAGAGGATCTATATCCTATTCGGGACTTTTGCAGTAGTTTTAGGAAGAGTTGAGTAACAGCGATTACTAGACACCGGACTAGTGGTACTGCTCCTGCTAACAGAAGGCGTAATGGCTTTCCAATAATTACAGGCACGTATAACAGCGTGTAAATAAGGCCGATAATCCCATAGAGAGTAAGGACGAGCACAAAAATTGCTCCGTGAGGCCAACATCCAGGATTGAGAAAGATGGAAGTGCAAACCCAGCAATCAATGCTGGCACGAAAGTCGAGTCCTTTGTGTCGTTTCGATAACTACGACGCTATAGCGCCGATTAGCGCACGCAGCTCGTAACTGGTTCCCTTTAACTTTTTAGGTGTAGATATTCTGCTGTACATATATATGTGTCCCTTTTCAAAATTTGTAGTTGTTAGCTATGAGGGTATACACAAGTGAATAGAAGTATCGAAGTGGGATAATAGCTCGTACAGGATACTGATAGCTACCAGTTCAACAAGACCAACCATCATAGCTCGAACAGCTCGAGGCGAAAAATTTCGCTGAAAGTCTGCATATAGAGGTTATTAAGGCCCTGATCACGGTTCTGACCTTTAAAACTGACGCCTAGGCCATTTGGCGCCAAAATGGCACTGAATGCTCCCCTCCCCCCAACTGCGGGTTATGATGCTGCGAGAACCACTTGAGAAACTACAATGCTACCTCACTGCGTGCCAAATAAAGTACTTTTTACCTTGACTTGTATTGTTTCCGATGCAGTGTCAACGAAAGTCTCATTTGCTATGCATTCTCGACACTAGAAATAGAGAAGAGCCTAGAGAAATGGTTCAAAATCGCTTTTCCTCAGCAAACTTTTCACCACTCATTTTATGACATTCCCAGAAATGCATAGCAAAAACGAAATCCATTTTTGTGATCTATGGACCCCTACAACATGCAATAAACCATTTCTGAAAAGCGCGCCATGACCTGAAAGACCTCCCGTTCCTCATTCCCCTAACGTACTTTTCTCTTCTTTTGTTCGGCATTCCAAGGACCGCTCTCTACCAGCCCTTTCTTTCTTATTCTAATGTGCGCTATTCTAACGTGCCTATAACTCTCTCAAAAAGCGCTGCACGACCTGAACAACCTCCCCTGTTAGAAACTCTTCAGAAGCACCTGCTCAACCTTTTTTTTATCAGGCCGGAAAGAAAGTCTTGTTGCTGCTGCGACTTTTTTCTTTTTTATTTAGCTGAATAAAACCAGAACTAATCAGCAGTATACCCGTCATTGTTAGCCATTACTGTGCTCCACCTAATGGGCAGGTCAGCAGTCCCTTTCTCCCAGAAATGGGGATGCTACGAGCCAAAGCCGGCGACCTCTCGACTGGTGTCATCATACTTGCTGGCAGTTTTCTTGGCTGAGAAACTCTTAAGGAGGCGGAACAGGTAGCAGTTGTAGGCGCTCATGTCAGAAGAATAGCAGTGAGCGGGGTATGGTTGCCCAGCCCTGTTTCTCAATCATTTGGTAGGTTTCCATAGCAGTATGGGATCTCCCGTCCTTACGAACGTTCTGGAGCTGAGCGCCACGAATGGTAGCGGTGGCCATGTGCATATGAAGGAGCAGCTCGTTCTGCAGCACCCCCCTCGCGTCCCAGGAGCAGAGCAGGAAAACTTTCTCAGGGTGCATGCAGGGTTTGGCCTGCAAATATGGATCATGGGGAACTCGTCTCTCGTCTACGCTTTCCAGTCTCCCAGAAAATCTTTCCGATGAGGGCGGAGAAGAGGAGACTGGCAAAGGGCACCTAGGTGTATCGCGTGTCATCCGTCAAAGTATGAGGGGACCAACGAGCCCGCATTTTTCGATAGCCGAGGGCTTGTAGGCACTTCGATCGCCCCCTGACTTTTTCTATAAAGGATCGGTCGGACTGCCCGGCTTTCACGGGTGATCCTCCCTATGCGTAAGCAGTGGATGTGGTCCCTGGCTTTTCTGTAGCGCCAGTCTTGCCGCTGACTTTTTCTATAGAGCGATGGACGGATTGATCGGCTTTGCCGGGTGATCCTCCTTATGCGTGTACGGTGTGTATCGTCCCTGGCTTTTCCTATGGCGCCTTAGTCACATCGCCCGTAACCCCTGACTTTTTCTATGGAAGGCCAGTCGGATCGCCTCTGACCTTTTCTATGGGGTCAGTCGGATTTCACGGCTTTGCCGGGTGATCCTCCTTATGCTTGTATTAGGCTGTTGGCCGATAGTGTGTGGCGTGAAGAGAACTACTACGTATGGCGAAGTCCTGTGTTATGCGATCATCAAATGTTGCGATTAACAAAAAGGTCAAAACTTTTGGTTCAAATGTATGGAGCATATGGAGGTTTGGGTCCCTGCTTGAGCGAATAGGTGAAGAGTACAGTCATCCACGGAACTCAATAAGGTGCAGATAGGGGCCCCTGATGGTCGAAATGGTACCTAAACCTACTTTACTAGGTAATGGTACCTAAACCTACTTTACTTTTGTGGTAGTGGACTAGCCTCTGAGAACGACGATCTTGTCGAGGCCATTTATAACAAAGTCTTCGAACTACCAACCTCTTTGGCAAAACAAATTTCAACTTAAAGTTTACTTTCTGAGGATTTAGCATACATTTCAAGAAAAAGCAGAACTACGACTACGAGCCCGCTCATCTACCTGCAGCGCCGTCGAGCCACGGCTCCGGCTGTGTCCCGAGGGGGTTCAGAAGTATAAAGTATGGGCAGGGAGCCCACCGCAATGGTCAAGCACTGTAGGAAAAAAGGTCTAAAATCAGCGTTCAAAGTTGAGAGTATACAAGAGTATACATCCCCATATTGAATGGCCATGACGAGTTGGTATCCTTCCCTTTCTATCCTGAGCTCAAGAACCAGGGCCTATCAACATGTGGAGGGAAGAAAAACAACGTCTTGTTTCTGTGATGGACCAAAAAGGATTATCGCAGCTTACCCAAGTGAAATAGGGAATAATAAAAAGCGAAATCTGACCAGAGCGCCGTAAATATGGCACAAATGCACATAGTAGTCGCACGAAATATTGTGCTTCAACAGCAATATCAAAAGAGGTTCTGGGTAGGAGAAGACGTTGCCACGATTGGTAACAGTCGAGTCGCGATAGGTCCACAGAGGTGATCGACTATCTCAGCTTTGATTCCGTTTTACCGTCACGCTCTAAAAGCTCAAGGTGAGGCAGGTTAAAATATCAAGTCATCCCATTCAAAAGTGCCTAGACATACGGTGGAATGGCAGAAAAGCACAGGGAATAGAAGCGGACTACTATACCATTTGTAGGGTAGTACCTTTAGCTATTTATCTATGAAATTTGGCGAACCTACTCACAGAATAAGTTCTCGGGAAACTGAAAAGAAGTTTGAGTGATAAAATCAGCGCTGGATTTTCAAATCAGGCATCATAAGAGGGAAGTGCGCCGCTCAAATTTGATCTGTGCTGGATCAGTAGTTGTGTGCCATGGTGTTCTCGAAATGCAAGGTGAAAAAAAATTGGTGTTGTGAACGGTTCCATTATGTTCATCCTGCACGAGAAAAGGGTGGATGAGGTCAAGCGCTGAATGTCTGACCACAGAGGCTGGACCTTTTTCGAGCTTCCTCGCGAGACTGACATCCCTGCTGCAGCTGCTGTTCGAGTTATGTCCGATAAATCTAGGATTGTCGATAGGGTGTGCGTATGGGTACCTAAATTTCTTAAAGAAGCACGAACGCAGTACCGATTCTCCGTCGTCAGACCTTCAAAATACAGTGCTTTAGTAGCCTACAGCAACAACAATTACATCAGCATCAGCATCAATGCCTATCAGTGTGCAAAGGAAGTCCTGAGAGAGACGCGAGGTGGTATCAGAGGGAACAAGGCAGCTTGGTTCAGGAACGAGGATGTCCAGGGATCGTCAAGCAGAAGAAGGAAGCATATAAACGGTAGCAGAAGATCAGGGTCGTAAAGGCTGTGAAGAGCAGCAACGGGGCCATTCTCAGGAAACCAGCCGAAGGGGAGGAAGAATACTTTGAGGGACTTCTGAACGAAGGATTCCCTCGCAACGACAGCCCACAGATATGAGTGGCGGCAGGTTCCATCACTCCCTGGACGGAGGATGAAGTCCGCCGAGAGCTAGGTGAAGGGTGGGGAAGCAGTGGGTCTACACGGGATACCGATAGAGACGTGGAAGGCCCTTGGAGAGCATGGGGTGAGTTGGCTCACGCACTTCCTAAACAAGGTAGCGGTTGAAGGAAGGATGCAGGATGCGTGTAGGAGCAGCGCAATCGTACCCATTTTCAAACAGAAAGGGGACGCGACAGAGTGCTTCAACTACCGCGGCATCAAGTTGACTCCCCATACGATGAAGTTGTATGAGCGCTTGGTCAACACAAGGCTAAGAAAGCTTGTCGCTATCTCGCAGGAACAGTTCGGTTTCATGTCCGAAAGGTCTACCACTGATGCCATCTTCATCGCCAGACAGCTGATGGATACGTACCAAGAGAGGCAGCGACCCTGCCACCTAGCCTTCCTAGACTTTGCGAAAGCATTCGACTACCTGCCTCGGCCTGTACTCTGGAGGTGCTTAGAGAATGTAACGTCCTGCAGCACCTAGTCCCCATAGTGAAGGACATGTATGATGGGGTTAAAGCAGCTGTACGCACCCCTCACTACATGACAAAAGACGTAAACATTACAGTTGGGGTACACCGAGGATCAGCCCTCAACCTGTTCCTCTTCCTCCTAACTCTGGTCATGGCAAAGGAACGCATGGAGGGACCATTAAAAACTATCCTCTACGCTGACGACATCGCCTTGATAGCGGACAGCAATGAAGAACTCCAAAACAAGGTGCAGCGGTGGCAGGATGTTCTCGCTGAAAATGGACTCCGGTTGAACGTAAAGAAGACAAAGTTCCTGAGCTCTGAAGAGTGTAACGAACCCATCGTAGACTGCCATGGCGAGAGCATCGAAAGGGTCGAGGACTTTCAGTGCCTGGGAGCAACTTAGCAGCTGATGGCAGCGCGGACCAGGCGGTGAGGCCCGAATCAAACGCAGCCTTGAGTTTCCTTCTTTCTCATCTTTCATTTTTCATTCCTTTGCACCCTTATTATTAATTCAGTATGGATGGCCCAAAGAAGATGAGCTCGAAAAAATGTCTTTGAACACGTTATTGTAATAATGTGAGCTCTTTGCTGGACACTTATACAGAATATAAACAGCTTATGAAAGGTTCGCATTAAGTGTCAGCTAATAATTTAGGAATTGAAGAATTGGCTTCACAACT